CGTCCTTTTCAGGGACACCACCAAGTCATTGGTTCAGGTATGTTGACAACACCTGGGTTAAAATTAAATCTCAGGAAGTCCAACATTTTACTGACCACATCAACTCTGTGGATAAATCAAGTTCACATGAGAAGATGTAAAAAATGGCAGGTTGGCTTTCTTGGACTGTGAGGTCTCAGTCTCTGATAGAGGACATTCGCAAACAGAGGTGTACCACAAACCCACCCACACAGACCAGTATTTGCAGTTTGACTCCCATCACCCTTTGGAGCACAAGTTAGAAATCATCAGGACTCTGTATCACAGAGCAGACAGCATCCCCACTAACTCAGGAGCCAGGCAGAAGGAGAAATCCAACACAAGACAGGCTCTAGAGCAATGTGGATATCCTAACTGGGCCTTCCTGAAAGCAGAGAAGAAACCCAAACAGGACTCCAGTCAGCCATCAGGTGAAAAGGAGGAACCCAGACCAGTGGTCCTTCTTGACCATGTGAGCAGCTGGTTTTGGTTGTCAGCAGCAAACTGGTTGATCCACTCTGAGAAGGTGCTATTTAAGAGACTGAGTTGAATACAGCACCTCAGACTGAGGAAGTCTCTCGGATGAGAGACGAAACGTTTCTACATTTTTTTCTTTGTTTTTTTGAATGTCCAGAGGACCAGATTGAATTTTTTGGACATTATCATATAGTTCCAGGTTGGTCACAGACAAGCCATGAGAGAGAACCAGGTCCAACGTGTGTCCATGTTCATGCGTGGGACCAGTCACCCACTGAACCAGGTTAAGAGTCAGTGAGGCTGAGAAAGTCCTTCACCAGTGGTTTATCTGGACAGCATACATGAATGTTAAAATCCCCAACATTAAGGACTCGATCATAGTTTATCATTATTCCAGTCAGGAAATTTAGGGGCTCTGTAGATGACAGCGCACAGCACCGGGTCTAAGCTACTCACCTCAAATAAAGTCTACTCGAAGCTGGAGAAAGAAGACGGTGCAGCGCACTGCTTGCATTTAAAGTTGTTTTTATAAACAATCGCCATTCCTCCTCCACGACCTGACAATCCGAGGGGAGCTCAGATAAGAGCAGCCGTCTGGTAGAAGTTCAACAAAAACACTGGAGTCATCAGCCTCGACCCAGGTCTCTGTGATGCAGAGCAAATCTAAATGACGGGAACTGAAAAAGTCCTGAAGGATGAAAGTTTTGTTTGTTACAGACCTGGCGTTCACCAGGCCAATCCTGGCAGAAACCACAGCCTGCAGACGGATGGGCGCTAGGGCCCAGGGCCGCGTCTTCAAGCTCTGCAGGTTCACTCCATGCCAGTGGAGATGAGAGAAGCAGGAGGGGTGGGGGCAGATGCCCGCATCCAGGCCGATGACGGGTAGCAGGCAGCTGTCAACAGGATGCAGGAAACGCCAAGGCACAGCGAAAAACGGAAATAATCCATTTCTTGTCTGAGACATGGATGTAGAACGGGTCAGGCATATCTTTAGTTTTACCTGCTGTCCTCCACGTTTACCACGGTAATGATGACGTTTCTGCCGAGGGGGCAGCACAGGAGCCTGGAGGAGATGAGCTGGGACTCCTGACAGGAGCGGGGGTAAAGTTTTTTGTCGACCATAATCCAAGGCACTGATTGCCAACAACATGTTGAATATCCAGGAGGGACTGGTGATTGTACACAAGCACAGACTTCATGCTGAGCACAAAACAGAAAAATAAAACAAACCAAACCAAGAGCGACAGACGGATGGCCACACACACTGGCACCATCTTGCCACACCCCATTAACATTTAACATTAACTCAAGTTAGATACCCAACATCTTTTCTTGGTTGCAGATTCCTCAACAAGAGTTTGATTGGTCTTATTTAACGTCCTCTGTTACAGTTCTAACATCATTATCAAAGATTACTGAAAAAAAAATTAAAGTGATAAAAGTATTTTACATTTAAAATAACATCTTGAGGGCCAGATAAGATGTCAACGAGGGCTTCATTTGGCCCCCGGGCCTTGGATTTGACACATATGGTTTACACTCAAAGTTTAAGTCTTTACCTGGTTTTCTTTGTGAATTCTGAATACAGAAGAAAAACTTTCAGCTATGTCTGCACTGAATAATCAATGTTTCACCTACAGGTACAACAGGAAGTGGAAGAGCCAATTTATAGCATTGCTGCTAAGCACACATAAGCTAAAATATGCAACAGAATTAAACATGTTCACAGTGAGGAGGACTCATTCTGTAGCGCTCAGTCTTCTCAACGAACAGTGATGATTTCTGTAGTTATTTAATGTCTTAATGTCTTGTCTAGTATGAATGTTTTATGTGCCTACTGACTGTGAAACAAATTGCCTCTTGAGGACAATAAAGATTCTTGAACTTGAACGTTCATGCACATTAGGAATGTGCAATATGGCATAAAATTCATATCACAATATTTATTGTGAAGAGTGGCAATAACGATATATATCGCAATGTTTTTGATATAAAATTTGCAATAGGAATAAAAAAAGCATAGGGTGTTTTTTTGCCATCATAAATTTTGAATTAAGAAAATTCCACTACTAGGTCCAGAGTTTTAAAATAATAAACAAATCAAGTATTAGGCTTCTTTCTTGTAGGGCAAAACAGTGCAAAATATATCAAATGTAGTTTTAGCCATACGTTTTAAACAAAAGAATATGTTGTTAACGGTTTCCAGTCTTCATTTAAGAAATACCATACCATACCACTTTATTTATAGAGCACTTAAAACAGCGACAAGGCCAACCAAAGTGCTGTGCAGACAAAACAACAGGTAACACACAAAACAAAATACAAAATGAGCTAAATCAGAATATAGACATAAAAACGATGCAGATAATGACGACTAACCAGTGTGGAGCATACAGGATCAAAACACAGATCATCTGTGGTGAGATCAAGAAATGAACAGCAACAGAGCAGCATTTTGTGGGGAGTGGTGGCGCAGAGGTTAGAGAGGTGGGCTTGTGATCCGAAGATCGCCGGTTCACGCCCCAGCTCCGATAACATCAAAATTGTGGGTGGGGTAGGTGAAACACTCATACTTGCCCCCACCCTCATTCGCCCCACTCTGGGCCCATGAGCAAGGCCCTTAACCCCCACCATGTGCTCCCTAAACAGGTCTCTCTTGAAAATGAGTTCTCGTGGCTCAATGAGACTAACCTGGATAAATAAAGGCTAAATGAAAAAAAAAAAAAAATTTTACACTGAAACACTTCACCCCCCAACCCTCTAGTTGGCGACTCCTTCTGCTTTAATGGAGAGCTGACACAAAATGAGTCTGTGGCTTAGACCAGACGGTCTCGCAGTAAAATCACACAACACAGCGTTCTTTTCACAGATCAGAGCAGGTTTCTCTAAAGACATCTCTATCGTAGGCTAAATTTCTATCGTTTCTACTGTGTACCGCTTATATCGCACATTCCTAATGCACATGTGACCAAGTTTTACCTTTGTAGCTGGAAGGTCGTTGATTTCCAGCTTCAGGTTGCCGATAGACGTTTTGCAAAGAATGACGGCTTCCTCGCTGCTTTTAACCTGTATCATACAGACACACTCTCAACATGATCAAATATATAATTTATTAAATGTATGTTGATTAACCAACCTTTTCTTTGGTTTTCTCAAGAAAAGTGATGGCATCTTTAGGATCTAAGAGCCAAAGACACAATGATCAAGTGAAAAACTGAGAAGAGAAATGTCAGGCTGTGTTTGGTGTTTTGGTTTTAACCTGATATCTGCCTGGCAACGTGCAGTATGATCTCCACCAGGGACAACGGATTGATTCTGGTCCAAAGTGACAGCGTTCAGTCACAGCACATCATACTTACACATTTACAATGAATATTTCCTCTCACCTGTGTTCAAAGTCACTCATGAAGTTTTCATAGAGCTGCAAGAAGAACAGAACAGTCAGCGACAACACACCTGCTGTAAGACCAACTCTGTCTTCGCTAGCTATGGATGCTTTCTGCGTGCCTGTGTGGAGGTGAACGCTGAATGTCTTTAGACATCAAAACACGCAACAGTGGGCAGATTGTTCACCTCTAGTGGGCGGATTATTAATATCAACGCACCTTACCAGCTGGTGGCGGTAGTGCTACATTAAGCTCTTTTCTAAGCACCACTAACATGTATTAGAAGAAGAAGAGCTGGAAAACAACACACAACCAAAATGGATGACCTCGATGAACTTGAAGCAGAACCAGCATCACAGCCCGTCCTGGTCGCTGTCCCGCAAGATGGAGAGCAGGGCCGAGGTGTCAGAGATGCTCTGATGGAGTCCCTCATGAGCTGTAACTTATCCTAATTCCACCCCTTAATCTTTTTTTACCTCCCCAGCCTTCCTTAGATACAAGTGGACGTTAAAGTGTTGATTGAAAATAAACATGGATTAATAATTATTCTTGTTTGTTTAATGTACAGACATGCCTTATTACCAGGTTCGTGTAAAAATGTCAAAACAAACACTGCTGCTGTGCTTCTATCACATATGCTGCGTTTTTTAGTGGCTGTAGTTTTAGAAAAACTGTATACTCTTTGTTTTTAACAAAGAACCAAAACCTACAAGAACTTTATATTTGTTTATGCATATACACATTAATCTATTTTAATATTTATATATATATATATGTCTTCAGCCA